GCACAGTCAACAAGCAGCAAACTTTTGAGCAAGGCCAACACTGTGAAAAAAGTAGAGCAGATAATAAAAAAGAACCTACAGGGGCAATGTATAATCATAGGAAGATTTAAACATAACCAAATCCTCAGAGGAATAAGTGAGGATCTGGCAACCAAGAGACAAGAATAGGCAGGCTGTGAGGAAAAAGAGTTCAACGAGAACTCTTGAAAATAAAAAAAAATAATCACGGAAATAAAAAATTAAGCAGATGAGCTGATAAAATAATTACAGCTTATAGGAATTACTGAGCTGGAAAATTGAGCTGAAGGATTCTTCTGGAATGCAGTACAAGAGAAGGAAAATACGAATTAGTATATTTAAGAGATTTGGAAAATAAATTCTGAAGTTCCAATATCCCTCTAATAGGTGTTCCAGAAGAAGAAGAAAACAGAATAGAGAGGGAATTTTTAAAGAAATGTTAAAACTGAGCCAGCTGTGGTGGTCTGGTGTTAGGATTCGGCAGTCTCACCTCGGCAGCCTGGGTTCGTTTCTTGGTCGTGGAACCACACCCCCCTCTGTCAGTTGTCATACTGTGGAGAACATACAGTAGAGAACTAAACTAACAACCAGGATACACAACCATGCACTGAAGCTTAAAGTAAAAAAACAAACGTTAAAACTACAAAATAGAACAGAAAATAACATAATACTGTGTTCCCACCAATCATTACTGACAATTTATAATGCTTTAACAGATATGCTTCAAGTAATATGTTTAAAGAAATAAAACTACAGATAAAGTTGATGGTCTTTCTGATCCCCAGTTCCTCTCCTTTTTCCTTAGGGCAGCATCTACCATCATGAATTTGTGTATATCTTTCCAGTCCATTATTTATATAAATATACATACACTCATATATGTATATAAATATATAAAAATAAATATATAAATATCATATATATGATGTGTAATACATAATACATATGATGCTTTTGCATGTGCCTGTCAGTTTTAGTAAAGTAATAACATACAGCACATAGAGTTCTGCAACTCGCTATTTTCACTCAACAGTGTAAGTTTTAGCTCTCTCCATGGTTATGGAGAGAGGGCCAGTTAATTTCTCTGAACTGCTGTAGACTATTTCATTGTATTACTGACTATACCACATTTTTTATATAGTCCTTTATTTATAGATAGACTTACAGGGTGTTTCCAGATTTTTACCATCATGAAACAATGTAATAATATATGCCTTATGCACATGGTGAACATTTCTCCAAATGTCTATCTAGAAGTAGGATTGCGGGGTAATAGGGTATGCATGCTTCCAATTTTACTAGATTCTGTCAAATTGCCCCTCCACTTATACTCCCACAATCAGTTTTGGCTGCTCTCATTTTCCCTCAACTTCACCAATACTTAGTATTTTCAGACTTTAATTTTACTGATCTGATGGGTGAGAAATTATACCTCATCATAACTGTTATTTGCATGGTCTTGATTTCTTGTAAGTCTGACCATCCTTTCATAGTCTATTGGCTGTTTGGGATTTCTTTTCTGTGAATTGTCTCTTTAAATCATTTTTTTTTAAATTGAGAGGTAATTGACATATAACTTTATATTAGTGTTGGAGTATACCATATTGATTCAATATACAATTGCAAAATGATCCTGACACTAAGTCTTGTTAACATCCACCACCACACATAGTTACAAATTTTTTTTCTTGTGTTGGGAACTTTTAAGATCTCTCTTAGCAACTTTCAAATATACAGTATTATTATATTATACACACATGTTATATATACCATATTGTATTACTAAAATACAGAATTCTTAACTATAGTCACCATACTGTACATTACATCCCCAGGACTTATTTTATAACTGGAAGTTTGTTTCTTTTGACTTCTTTCACCCATTTCACCCTCCCCTCATCTCCCTGAATCCTTTTTCAATTGCATTTATAGTGTCTTTTTTTATACAAATTTTTATATAATCAAACTTACCAATCTGATGTGAGATATATTTTTTAAAGAATAGATGAGTATTTCTCAAACCTAAAAAACTCAACACCCAACCTCCCATCCCTTGAATTCTTTTTCAATTGCACTTACAGTGTCTTTTTTCATATAAAAGCTTAAAATTTTTACATAATCAAATTTATCAACCTGATGTGAGATATATTTTTTAAAGAATGGATGAATATTTCTCAAATCTAAAAATCTTGATTCATGGCCCAGCCCTGGTGGCTTAGTGGTTAAGTTCAACACACTCTTCTTCTGTGGCCCAAGTCCAGTTCCTGGGCGCAGACCTACACCACTCATCCATCAGAGGCCATGCTGTGGTGGAGGTTCACATACAAAATAAAGGAAGACTGACACAGATATTAGCTCAGAGAAAATCTTCCTCAGCAAAAAATCCCAAAAACTTCAGTCCTCAGACTTGACAGGATGCACCGAGTGTTAAATAGGATGGATATAACAAATGCCCATTTAGACACATTGTAGTGAAACTTCAGACTATGATTGTTGGAGGGTTTTAGGTGTTTGGGAGGTGGGAGGAGTTGCTGTTTGCGCCAGTGTTTGCAATGAGACCAGAAGAGAAGGAGGGAGTTCTCTGGGGACTCGAAAAAACTGGCAAGGAACTGAGAACGTCTTGCGCCTTCACTGGTCTCAAGCTGTCAGTCGTGGCTGCTTCATAAATCACCAGGGACCTGAGACATTGCTGCACAGAACTCTGGAGACTCATTAGGGAGCATGGACGGAAGGATTTTGTTGTTACTGTTATTTAGTTTTGTTTAACACAATAACAATTTAGAGTTCACGCAGCATTGTTTACGTATTATGGTGAACAATCTGAATCTGTCATTTTTATAGAGAAAAACGATTGAATGTTGGCAACTTCCTAGGGTTCAACCTAACACATGATTTCATTTCATACTCTTAACTCTGTGAGATACACATTATTATTACTAACTTTTTGACAGATAAGCGACCAGTGGGCCAGAGAGCTTAAGTGGTCTTATGGGAGACTTATGCCGGCTAAATGACAGAGGTCAGCCTGCCTGGCTCCATCCTGCGGCCTGACCCTGAGAATGCTCCATCTGAGAAGTGGTAAAAACACTTCGTGTTCTTTCTCTCCCCCAGGAGGATTGTCCTGTCATGGGGGTCAGCTGTCTTCTAGGGAGATTAGGCTCAAGATAACCACGGGTTCTTGGCTTTTGCCAAGAGAACTCGGCCTTGATATTTGAGCAGACAACATGCTTCAGGCATAACACACGGGCTGGAGGAAAGTGTGTCAAGGGCAAGAGTAGATCATAAACCAGAGACGATCAGGTGCGTGGAAGAAGAAGAGGAAGAGCGATTGCTGCGCCTGTCCCAGCTGCCAAATGCTGTGCTCAGAGCCCTAAGTAACTGACGTGCTGTTTCCTTGCACAAACAGCCTTCTGGGAGGAAACCTTCCATGGCCTGGATGACAACTCCAGCAAGTCCAAGATTTTTCTGCTCATTCTTAGAATAGGGTCTGTGGTCATTGGGGGTTGCAACATAACCTCAATTCAGAAATTAGAATGCTAATGCAAGACCGTCATCAAAACTCGGAACTTATTTTTACCTTAAGTCCTTCTCTCTTCCCCCAGCCTGGGCCTGCCCGGCTGGACGCCCACAGTGAGGACAGTCTAGAGGGGTTGGCTTCTTCCCTCTTTTTCCACTTGGCCTCCCCAGGCAGTTACCATGGCTACAACTACAGCTGCTCTGTGGGAGCAGTCGGGGAAGGGGCAGCAACAGCTGGAAGTTGACTTCAGGCTTTCTCACAAGGCAGATGTTAAATTCTGCCTCTTTCTCGGGGACCACTTTAATGCCCTGTCCACAGGTTTCCCACTCAGCCTCTTTCTCCAGGACTTCTGGATGTATCTCAAGTCCAATCTCATTGCAAGTGGTCACCTGAGACCCCTTCCTCAGCCCCTGGGCATTCAGCTCCAGCCTTTAGCTAGTGGAGTCCCCCCATACAGAACCCAAGACATGGAGTCCTCGCAGGCTCTCTCTCCTGTGAGGCCCACAACTGTCCAGTGGAAACACGCATGCATCTTGTGCCCTAAAAAAACACAGGGCGTGCAGGCTGGTTCCAGCTGGTGGCAGCAGCCCGACGAAAGCATCTAGTGAACTCTCCTCTCACCTTCCAGATTTCCCAAGTGGGACCACACCCCAAGCCACCACACCTCAGCTATAGGGGTCACACTTTAGGGTCTTGGAGTAGCCCCCCTAAAGACACCCTCACTAGGTTTGAAGCGAGGGAGCAGGAACTCACCCTGTCCTCAAGATGGGACTCATAGCACAGCTTTCTTCAAGGAAATCCTCCTCCCAAAATCCTCCTGTCTCCTCTGTTTCTTCTTTTTCAGAGTCCCAAAGTGGGCCACGGGTTTCAAAAGTCTTGGAACAGATTTTGGCATTTCTTAGAAAGTCTCCGTAAGGTGACTTAGCCTCTTACTTTGGATTTTCATACCTGTGATACATATTGGTGCTTGGCGGAAAATTTAGTTTTAAGGCCCTCTTACGTTTATATGCATTGACACTTTTTGTTTGTAAGTGCAGATGACGTTTTCTATTTTATAACGAGGAAGACTCATCTCCGAGGGCTCAAAGAGGTAAGGCCAAGGTCACCCAACCAGGCAGTGATGGAGCTGAGATTCCAACTAGGTCTGTCTGGCGTCATCTGGAAGGTACGTGCTCGCTGGCTCCAAGCCCAAGGAAAGAATTTGGAGACACAGAGGAAGTGCTTCCTTCATTTAAGGCCCAGGCCCCAGATCACCAAAAGAGGCTCCAGGCTACTGTAGAGCTGATGTACGTCAGCTCCTGTGGTATGGCCCTGCCCACACCTGCACAGGACACATTCTGGGACCCAGAGAGAGGGCTGGGAGGACTTGGGTTGTGGGAGAGATGGATAATTCTACTGATTTGGAAACGACCCAATCTCAATGTGACTTTCGACTGGAAGGAGGGTGCCAGGAGGGCTGACTCACCTAGTCTAACATCCAAGCCAAACACTGTAAGGAAAAGGCTCGGTTCAGCCAAGGCTGTAGCAGCAGGAGGACGGGGAGTCTGTGCTGGGATCCCAGCCATGCCTTTGCCTTGGTGTTTTCTCACTGTGTTTGGGCCTCCCTTTCTCCATGACTTCTGGGAGTTTGGAAACAAGGCATGCTGGGGCTTCAACAGGTGGTCCAGAGCCACCATAGGAAGGTATTGAGAGGTGAGAGATGGAAGAACAGACTTAGCTGGTCCTCATAGGAGACAGAGGATATGGCACTGGCCAGCTCCCAAAATGGGCTTAGTTTGGTCTCCAATAAGGTTCAGCCTGGTAGGCATTTCCGACACTGGGGGTTGTTAATAAGCCACAGTCCATCCACAATGGAGTGACCACTGAACACCATGACATACTTAACTACATGGAAAGATATTTACAATATATTATTAAGTGAAGACTACGCAGAGCAAGATCCTCTCTTTATAAAAGCAGTGTTCTTGCTTAAACAAGTGCTTCTGGAGGATGGGCCTAAAAGGTGCAGTCTGGGTGCCTGGCTCCATCGATCACTGTGGGTCCCGGGATCATGCCCCTTCAAAGAATTTCTCTATTTATCCTCAGGCTGACCCAAAGGTGTGGGGTCAGGAGAGGGTCCAGTCCCTTCTGCTTCCTAGGAGGCCACTCGCCTCCACCTCTCCTACATTCTCTCTCAGAGATCTGTTGGCTGGTCTTCTACACCCTCCAGATACAATGGGAGTCATCATACCCCACACGGGGACTTCCCCAGACAACTGGGCTTCTCACTGGCCGCCCACCTGTTGTTTGTTCAAATGTTCCCTTTGGTGTTTCCAGGAAGCCCCGCCCCATCCCACCTCCAATTTTTGATGGGGGCTACCTCTCTGAGGCCAGAATGTGTCTTTGGCAATTCCTCAATGAAGAAGAGAAACACACGTGCACACACACACATGCTTGTTTAACCTAGGATGATCTACCTTGAAACAAAAACACAAACACACATATAAATACTGGTTTGTTTTTGTTTTTACATGCAGTGGTTTCATAAGAGGTATGTTACTCTGCCCCTAGGATTGAGCTAAATTCGTACTCAGGTCTGAAACATTTCTCCAAGGGAACAATCTGCAGAGATGCACCTCTGCTGCCCCGCCACAAAGATGATCTTTCAATACACTGTGCAAGACAGCCTGGCTTCTTGGTTACTGAGGATCTGATCAATAACTGACCTGGTCTGTCAAATGTTTTCCAGACAGGAAGAAACTATGTATTCTATTTTGCAGAAATTGATGTCCTCATTTTGCAGATGTTGCTATCTTGCAGAGAAACTCACATGTTTGCAGCAAGACTCCTGCAAAATGTTCCAGCTCCAAGCGTCCTAAAGTTACCTTAAACTCATTAGCATCTTAAACTCTCCTCCTCTGGGAGCGTCCCAGCAGCCGTTTTCAGATCCTGTGATGCATGTGATAGCATGTTTACCTGCTATGCATGTGCCCTGGATGAGCACAGTTGTTACACACTTGTTACCGATAAACCTGTTATCCTCTGCTCTCTTGTGAATAAAGTCTCCACCAGCACTGCATTTTGGAGAGATACTGCTTTGGGGAGATATCCCCCATGTTCTTCCTTGCTTGTGCAAGCAATAAACCTTTTGAGATTTATCCATATTTATATAGGTAGCATTTTCACTGCTCTGTAATACTCTATTTATTTGTCCAATCTCTTGTTGATGGATATGTAGATGATTTCCAGGTTTTCCCATCCAGTGTTGCAATGAACCTTTGTACATGTCTCCTACGTGTCTCCTTGTGCACATGTGAAAATTTCTCTAGAAGCCAATTGCAGAGTTGAAGGGCACACATATCTGAAGTTTATTAGACATTGCCTATTGCTCTTCAAAGTGATTGTACCAATTTATTCTCCTACCAGCAGCCCATGAGAGTTTCTGTTTATCTACTCTAGAACCTTGTAAGTATTTGGTAGTATCTCTTTTTAATTATTGCCAATCCGATGAAAGAGTATTTCATGTCATCTAAATTTTTATTTCCTCAATTATTAGTGAAGTTGCTCCTTTGGGTTTCCTTTTCTCTTAATTGCCTTTTCATGCTGCATGCATATTTTTCTATTATATTATTTATGTCTTTCTATTTGATTTGTAGGATTTCTTTACAAATTGTAGCTACTAATCGTTTTGTCAATTCTTGGGGTAGCAAATACCTTCCTCTAGTCTGAGTCTTGTCTTCAAGTTTATTTAAGATGTCTTTTTTGAACAGAAGTTGTTCATTTAAAGCAGGTAAAGTGTCACTCATTTCTTTGATATTTATTTTTGTGTCCTGTTTAAGAAATCATTACCTGCCCAAAAGTCATAAAGATCTCTCCGTATTTGGTTATGTATTTTGGAGTATGGAACTAGGAGCCTAATTTGATGTTTTCCCATGTGGCTAACCAGTTTTCCAAGCATTTTTAAAAGTAATTTCTTTCTCCCACTGATTTGAAATGCCAGCTGTTGTGTATCGTTTCCATATGCGCGTGGGTCTCTTCCTGGGCGCCCTGTTCTGCATCACACCCCCACTCTCTAATTACTATGCCTTTATGATACCACTAAATCTTGTTGTCTTGTAAGTGAAGTTTCCCTTCCATCCCACCTCCTTGTGTTCTTTTCCAAAATTATCTAGTTCTTCTTCTTCCATGTGAACTTAAAGATCAGTTTGTGAAGTTCCATCCAAAAAAATCGGAATTTTTTTATTGAAATCTAATTGAATTTATGAATTTTGTGGGAGAAATTGGCACATTTAGGATATTGAGTCTTCTAATCCATGAACATATGTCTCTTCATTTATTTTAAGGTCTTCTTTTGTATTCTTCCCACAACGTTTTGTAATTTTCTCCATAAAATTTCTCTTATCTTCTGTTAGATTAATCATTGGAAACCTCATCCTTTATCTTGCCATTATGAATAAGATCTTTGTTTTTTCTGTTACATTTTCCAACTAGTCGTGATTGATGAGTAGGAAGACTAGTAATTTTTCTACGTTGACCTTGTGTGCAGCAATAGTGCTGAATTAACTTAATACTTAGAATAGTTTACTTGCAAATTCTTTTTTTTTTTTTCAGGAAGATTAGCCCTGAGCTAATATTTGCCACCAATCTTCCTCTTTTTGCTGAGGAAGATTGGCCCTGATCTAATATCTGTGCCCATCTTCCTCTATTTTATATGTGATCCTCCTGCCACAGCATGGCTTGATGAGTGGTGTGTAGGTCTACGCCCAGGATCCAAACTGGCGAACCCCAGGTCACCCAAGCAGAGCGCCTGAACTAACAGCTACGCCACAGGGCTGGCCCCACTTGTAAATTCTTTTGAATCATCTATGTAGACAATTACAATCTGCAAAAGAGAACACTTGTGTTTCTTCCTTTCCAATTCTTGTACCTCTTCCTTTTTTTCCCTTGTGCTGTTGCACAGGGTAGGTTCTCCAATGTGGGAAAGAAGTGATAATAAAAGGCATCCTTATCTTACTCCTGAGTTTAAAAGAAATGCTTCTGAAATGGTGCCTTGTGAGTATGCTTGCTGTTGACTATTGGTGGATAACCTTTATCAAGTTCAAAAAGTTTCCTTCTATTCGCAATTTGGTAAGTATTATCATGAATGAATGTTAAATTTTATCAAATGCTTTCTCTGCGTCTGTTAAAATGATAATATATTTTCTGCTTTAATTTTTAATATGGTGAGTCACGTTAATAAATTTTCCTAGGTTAAATATTCTTGGATAAACTCTAATTATACACTACTTAATTGATTTTGCTAGTATTTTATTTATAACTTTTACATCTAGGTTCTTAAGTGAGTTTATCAGTTCTCTAGTGCAATAATACCAATTATCCCAAACTAGCTGATTAAAACAACAATAAACATTTGTTATCTTTCAGTTTCTCTGGGTCAGTAATATGGAGGCACTTAACAGGGTGGTTCTGTCTTGGGATCTCTCATGAGGTTGCAGTCAAGACATTGGCCAGTGCTGCAGTCATCTGCAGGCTTGACTATAGGTGGGGGATCCACTTCTAAGATGACTCACTCACATGACTGGCAAATTGGTGCTGGCTATTGGCAAAAGGCTCACTTCTTCATCTCTATAGGGATGCTTGAGTGACATAGCACCTGGTTTCCTCCAGAGTGACCTATGCAAAAGGACAAGGGGGAGAAGCTTTAGTGCCTTTTATGAAAAGTATCCTATGTTCATGGATTGGAAGAATTAATATTGTTAAAATGTCAATATTTCCAAAAGCCGTCTATAGATTCAATTAAATCCCTACCAAGCTTCCAATGCCATTTTTTAAGAAAGTAGAAAAAACAGCCTAAAATCTATATATAACCAAGGAAATCCCAAGAAAGAAGAACAAAGCAGGAGGCATCACAAGCCGCTGAAGTCATGCACTGCAGTATCCTATTGGACACACAGACAAGCCATGATTCCTTGTGGGAGAGTACCACACGAGGATGTGAACATCAGAAGATGGGGGTCATTGGGGACCATCTTCAAGGCTGGCTACCAGTGAGATTGGTTTAGAACTTTCTTTTCATGAATTGATCTTGTGTTGGTTAGTATCAAGAATATGCTAGCCTAAAAAATTAATTTCCTTTGTTGAATTCTCTGAAGCAGTTCTTTGAAAGTTCCATAAAACCTTCCCGTAAAACTTGTTATCTTTTGATGGGGGATAAGTTTGATTAATTATACAATTATTTTTGGCTAATTCAAACTTTCTATTTCTTCTTGGGTCAAGTTTGATTATTCATACTTTTTAGAAACATATCCATTTCCTTTGTTTTCAGTTTCATTGACATGGAGTTGTTCTATCATTCCTTTACTATTTTTTTAAAATTTCTATTCCATTTCTGGTTATGCCTATTTTTTGTTTCTAATATTGCTTGTCTGTGACTTTTCTCTTTTTTTCCCTTGATGAGCCTTGCTAGAAGTTTGTCTATTTTGTTAGTTTTCTTTTCCAGTGAATCACCTTTTGGTTTTTGTTTCTTTGTTTTCTATTTCACTAACTTTCATTATTTTTACTATTCTCCTCCCCCTGCTTTCCTTGAGTTTACTCTATTATACGTTTTCTAGCTCCCTATATTGAGTGCTTAATTAATTTTAAGTCTGTCTTATTTGTAATAAATGCTTTTAAAAATTAAAATTGTTTTTCTTCATCCTACAAGTTTTGACTTATAGTATTTTTGTTATTTAGTTCTAAATATTTGATCATTTCCATTGTGATATCTTTTTCAACTCATTCATTTGAGTGACTCCTTACAGTTCTAAACATGTGGGAGATTTAACATTATTTTTATTGTTAATGTCTAATTTACTTGCTTTATGGCCGGAGAACATAATCTGTGTGATGTTGACTGTCATCCTCTTTCACCTGGTATGCAGTTAATATTTCATAATTGTTCCACGTGTTCTTTAAAAATATATATATATTGAATTTGTTCAGCATACTAGACTAAGTTTAAT